TGGGGCAGCCGAGGGGCTTTCTTATCTGCATCACGAGTGTAATCCGCCGCTAGTGCACAGGTACTATTTTATTTGATGATATTTATTGCCCCCTTTTTGACTCGTGGGGCTGTGATGTGGGTTTTAATATGGGCTTGCTGTTATATTATGCTTTATTGTTTCTTATTGATGATATTTATGTGAATGGGAAAGAGCGTATATTATGTTATTTTAGTTGTTTTCATATTGCATGGCTCTGACTAAAGTAATGGAATCGCTTTACATGTTCGAATTTATGAACTCAACTTCAGCAAGTGGTTTAGGTCAAAATCGGACATTTACTCTCAGCGCTTTAAAGATTTGATCACACACATTTATGTTTGTGTTGTGATGGCCACTCATAATGTATTGTACGAATCTAATACATTTCCTTCACGGGAGTTAGATTATCTCGAACGTAGAAAATAGTAAAAGAGTGAATTAAATGAGCGAGATTTATCATAAAATATATTATGAACACTCGTTTAAAATAGTTAATGATTGCAGCTTTTTGTATGTTTGTGTACACTGAGAACATTTACACGTTCTTTGATTCTGAAGTTAGTTTCGTTTGATTATTCCATGCTAGAAGAGAACTAGAGCTAGCATTTGTTCTTCATAAAGTTTGGTTTTGTAAATCATTTTCTGCCCTTTAGTTTTATCTCTGAACGATGTTCATTTATTTTGTTTGTACTTTGTATTTCTGAAGAGATGTTCAAGCCAGCAGCATACTTCTCGATGATAAGTTCGAAGTTCGGTTAGGAAGTTTGAGTGAGGTTTGTGCTCAGGAAGGTGATATTCATCAAAGTCGGATTACAAAGTTTCTTCGGTTGCCACAGTGAGTATTTATTTACTTTTGCAATTATATATATATTCTTAAATATCTATAATTTTTGTCTTTGGATGGAAAATCGAATATATGAAGCTCTCATTCTCACTATTGAGGTGTCTAATGTAAAGTGAAACAAATTTGTATGCAAAGTCCCTTGTGCATATTAGTTACATAATAAACAAATGAAACAAGAAAGAGAAAGATGATAATGCTATTTTCCGAATATTATCATACTTATTATCTTTTACTACTGCAATCAATATTATTTTCCCTATTGTTGATTTGCTGTAACCTTATTTATCATTCATTCATTTCCATGTTTGCAGGTCATCCGACCAAGGTTCTTCAGGTATTTACATATCTGTTATTATATTCGTTTATGTCATAATATATATCTTTTGTTTCTCTATAATGTGCCTCCTTAATTGCGTGTAGCTTCGCAATGCCGTCGGTGAATCTAGACTTATAGTAATCAAATTGCATAAATTACATATTTCGAAAATGATTTCTAGGCTTAAAAAATTTTCAAGCTTCAAAGGTCGAAACTTTATTAATTCCGCACATTTATATAGTTACTTTTCAAGCAATAAATCATTGATTAATCCTCGATAGTATTAGTACCCGGCCAAAATCTTTACTTATAGTTCATTTCTATTTTCTTCTGAGTATTTGTTATTTAGTAACCTTTTTGCCTGTCACTATTCTTGTACATTTTCATTTTTTACATGAAACCTTATGTTATGAGCTAAAAAGAGTTTTTTCCTTGAACCAATGAAGCGAACCTTCGTAATGGTCAGAGAATATCCCCTCAATCATTGTCGTTAAGAACGAAAAGAGAATTTTTATATAATTTTCTATAATTCGGCTTGTTAAAGATCGAGATCGGCTCGTTAAGGCTCGAAATCGGCTCGTTAATAGTAATAAACGAGCCGAGCTGGAGCTCGATTTTTGGCTCGTTAATAAATACACATATTATGCATATCGAAAATCGAGTAAATTGAAAACTATAGGTCCTTTCATTAATATTTCAATCATATCATCATCTCATAAAAAAAAAAAAAATATTCCGAATTTTTCACAGGCACGCCTAACGCGACATGCGCGTACGACGTTTACTGTTTCGGGAAAGTCCTCCTCGAGCTCGTGACCGGAAAACTCGGCCCCGACTACTCCAGCAAGGATTGGCTCGACTCCACCATGCGCCACATCAGCATATACGACAAGGACCTCGTGACCGACATCTTGGACCCGACCCTCATGATCGACGAGGACCTTCTCGAGGAGGTTTGGGCCATGGCCATCGTGGCCCGTTCATGCCTTAACCCAAAGCCCAATAGACGGCCCTTAATGCGATACATCCTCAAGGCCTTGGAAAACCCGTTAAAAGTCGTGAGAGACGAGCAGCAGCACACGAGCTCTGAGCGGAGGGGCTCGTGGAATGCTGCATTGTTCGGAAGCTGGCGGCACAGCTCGTCTGACGTGGCGGCTCAGCCAGCGGCGGTGGCGGCGGCCACCGCCACGTCAGCGAATAAAGTGGAGGAGTCGAGTAGTGGGAAGAGGTCTGGGATGAGTGGGTCCCTTAATGGGGATAATAATAATAGTAATAATAATAATGGAAACTCGTCATCGGCTAGGAAGAGTTCGAAGGATATATTTCCCGAGCCTTTGGAGGAAGGATTGGTTTGATTCGATTCGATTTGATTTATTTTTCATGTGGATTGTAAATTCTTGGTCTTGGAGTGGGAGCGAAAATGGGGTGCGATTATGTGGAACGAGCGAGAGCCGATTCGTTTATGGGTTCGAAGGGGAAAACTGAGGGGAAAAAAAAAGTTTATTTTGTTCTTGATTTGGTTTGAGGGGGAGGCTTGTTGTTTGAGCAGAGAAGTCAACAATTAATTCTTTTTTTCTGTAATTTACATCTTTTTTCTAACGGGTCTTTTGGTGAATTGTAAATTTAGTTCATGTTGCTACTGCACTCTTTTTCGGAGGGGTGAAGGAAAAAAGTACAAAAAAGAAGTACATTTATTTTTTTGGGGTAACTATTTGAAATCCATTTTTCTTTCTCTTGATTGTTGTTGATGTGAGATTTTTGTTCCGAGTAAATTGCAGTGAGCTCTGTTTTTCTCTCTTTGTTTCTTTCATTTTAATTTTATCCTCCAAAATCTGTCCATCAAGTGGACTTTCGAGACCTCTAAAGGACGTGCCTCATTGTGGGCTCAGTAGGCCTTGGCAGCAGAAGCCACGGCCCATGCGTTCTGATGGGCATTGTTTTGGCCCAAATGCATCAACCAGTCCATAATCTTCAGGCAAGTGCCAATATTTGATTTATTTCTGCAAGCAAGAAAGAAAAGAGTATGTTATGTGTAGTCAATACTTTTCCGCAGTTGAAACAATAATTGTTCAGGTTTCGAGTATTTTGAAATTAGTTGTTGTTAACTTGTTATGCATACTTTTTGCGTGGCTGACCAACCTACATTATATTAGTGCATACGTGGAAGACAATTAACATTAAACACGACACTCTACTTACCTCTCAGAATATCATATGGCATCATCTATCTCCTCTGCACGTACGACTCTTCAACAGGTGACATGTGTTAATATCTCATCAATAAGTCATGATAATTTTCACTTTTTATCTCGTATAAATTTAATAAAATGATCAGGGCTAAAACACGAAAATACCACACGAGGGAAACGTGAGAAGCTTATTACAAGCATTTATTACATTCAAAGATTGTTTTATTCTCCTCAATTACGTTAACCAATTGTGGTCATTTTGTGTTGTTGAAGGCTTAAGGCCATTTAGTTATCTGCACTATAATAGATGATGCGAAAAGCAATGGATTCTAGTAGTTTACTTTGAAAATTGCTAGAATGAAAAAAGGAAAGATGAGATGGGATAAAAAAAAGAAAAAAAGGTCCCACCGAGATTTGAACTCGGGTTACTGGATTCAGAGTCCAATGTCCTGACCACTAGACCATGGGACCAGGTTGGTTGTGCTAAGAGAGCGTATTATATATGAATGCTAAAACACAGTTCATCGTTAGGAAACATGAAATCTCTAGTCATTATCAATATTTATTATAAAGGTCAATTTGGAATGAAATTCACATTTTTGAATTAAAAATATATAATTTAGAGCAAACTTTCAAATATTTTAAATGATCGGATATTCGAATTTTTAAAAAATAATATTTTATCATGAAAACATTAATGCTTAAAAAAAATACATACGTAATTGTGATAGGTGCGTGCCAATTATATCGAGATTACCACACAATTTCACTTTCGTACCTTCCAGTGTAGGCGCTGCTCATATCAATTCCCAACCATTATATCAACACACATTCATATGAATGTATAATATTGATAATACTAAGTCGACTTGAGTAAGATTAATTTTGAATTAAAATGTGTAAAAGATTATCCCATAAACCAAAATCAAATATATTCTTGAACAGTTGTTTACCATCATCATGTTCTAGAGAAGATGATATCTGCAAACTCTATATTGTATAGAGATGACACATTATTATTAGGAGACAAAGTAAAGAAAAAAGAAAAGCAATGATCAGGAAAATGCAGGTGACTAACATATTATTGATGCTAAATTACATAATTGGAAAAGAATTTTATCCAATCGCTCGTCTAAAGATGAAGCAATACTTCGGTAACGACTTGTAAAAGTTAATGAACCGGAATCTCAAGTTACAAAATATACATTCATTAAAATTAAATGAACCAAAATCTAAGTAGAACAATATCCAAATTATTATTTCATGAGCAGACCAGCATATAAAAGATTGTACAATTTGTACATTTCTTATTCTGATTCTTGGACGGTTAGAAATTTATTAAGTTTGACTAATAGTACAATTAATACCTTAGAAATGTGTTTATTTTTCAACCATAAACCAAAGTTAGACTAAGTTTGCTTCTTTATAGCTATAAATTTCTATTTAACCTTTCTATAACTTGGATGCCGATTTCTCCATAATATTCCATTGATTCTGTTTTGTAGCAGAAAAGTTTGTAGTTCTAATTTAATTCCCTGTCATACATCCCAGAAAGTAATCAAAATCTGGCAATACTTTCGACTATTTTCCATAATGCTCAAAGCAGTTTAAATAAATGAAAAATAAATGCTTAAGAGCTACTAAAAAACAGCCGTTTGGCATCCCCAGCTAAAGACCAAGGCGGCAAATTGGATTCCTTTTGATGAGACTAAAATCACACAATACCGTGCAAAATGAATGAAGTTTTGTCGGAAAAGAAAATTCTCAATGGTTTGTGATACAAGAGTCTAAATTTTACCTTGTGACCAAAGAGATCTCTGATGTTATCAATCCCGTAAAGAATCATAGTCGGCCTGGTAACGAAAATGGAAAAAGAAACGAATGAGAAACATTTTGCTCAAAATAGATTTATTTCATTAACTAAGGTTAATTTAGAAAAATGTGGTATGATTAGTTGTTAGCGAGATTTTGAGTTTATATTAAAATAAAATAATTAAAGTTGATTTGATATAATGTAGGACAAAAATTATGTGAAGTGATGGTTAGTTAAAATTATGTGAGTGTATTAATAGTGAGTTAAAGTTGATGTGATGTGTAAAAATAATTATTTAATATTATTTAATTATATTGATAATATTGATGATAGTTGGGTTGAATTAAAGTTGAGTTACATTTTGAGTATGAATTGAGTATGAACTGATTTTTTTCGTAAACAAACGCTCCCTGAAAGTTGCGAACAATCCACTGCAATTTGCTTCTATATATGAATAGCGCTCTCAACTCGTAAGAGAATATTTGAAAAACAAACACAGGCTGATATATCAAGAGGGGCTTGCAAACAAATAGACTGAAACTCAAGAATAGTTTTCAGTGATTTATCCAATAAATAGGGGAAACAAAATTGGATTACCTTTCAAGTGAAAGCCCCCATGCTATGACCTGAACATCTTCCGGAAGCCCCATTGGAAGCAGCATTTCTGGTCTGAACATTCCCGAGTTTCCAACTTCGACCCATTTCTGCAAACCTTCGTGATAACTGAGGGAGAGCAGAACGAAAATAAAAAAATAAAAAAAAAATCTGTTGGTCTCCTATATATAATGGTAAAGCTCCGAGCGAGAAACAGTTAAATAAAGTACCTGAAGATCTCCATGCTGGGCTCAGTATAAGGATTGTAGGCCGGCTTGAACTTAAGTTTGGACATTCCTGAAGACCAAGAGATGGAATTGCACAATTTCGGCATTGACAAATAAATATATAAATGTAAATCCATGAAGAAATCAGCTGACATACTGAAACTCTTTCGAAAATACCATTTGGAAGATGGTAAAAATTTACCTAGACGAGAGAAGAAGTCGTTGAGAACTCCTATCAAGTGTCCAAGAGTAAGATCCCGATCACAAATTAGCCCTACCAACCATATAGAAGTCGGTTTAGTAAGAGCATGGAAAACAGTAACATAAGATTTATTAGTTAAAAAAAATTATCTACAAATAGTCAAATACCTTCTATCTGGTGAAATTCGGCAAGATGAGTTCGGTCTACAGCTTCATTTCTAAAGACACGATCTATTGAATAGTATCTTTTGGGAGTGAAAGGTCCCTGGTGCAGAAAGATAGTTCACAAGTGAGGTATCCTGCAGACTAAGAAAAAAAGAGGGAAAAAAAAAAGGCATACAACCACACTATAGAGGGGGAAAAAACTGTAGGAAGAAAATGTTGAATTAATCTAAATAAGGGGGAAAATGGGCATAACAATTTCACAACAATAATAAGGAGAAAAAATGTTGAATTAATCTAAATTTAAACCAAATAGAATTTCAATGCCTATACTTGAGGCAAAAACTAGGGTTAAACGAACTTTCACCACTAACAGAGAGAAATAGGCTCCCACGACCACAACACTAACCTGAGCAAGTGCATAAAGCATTCTAGAGGAAACAGCAGTAGTGTGTGTCCGCAGAAGATTCTTATCTGCTTCCTCTCTCTTCCATTCATACCCATACCTGGCACGTGCAGAAATTCTATTAAGTGAACTGAAGGATTTCACCAATTATATGCATTCATAATTGGCAGCGGCCTACCCTCTCGACCCATAACCACCAGATTCATGAACTTGTTTAACTCGCTCAACATAGTCTTCAGGTAGACTTCTTGTAAAAGAAGGCTCTGTGAAATATGAACCAACGTAAGGAAACTGATGAGAACCCAAACGTCCAATAATACAGTTACAGAATGAAGTTTGGCAAAAACCTTTTAAGAAGAAAGTGTCGTGTGAATCACGAGCTGGATGCTGTTGTGGCTGGAAAAGTGCATCAAAGTTCCAGAAGCTGTAAGAAAGAAAGAACTGCCAGTATTCATAGCAGTTACATGTAATTTTGCACAATAAGTTTATACCACGTAGATATATAGCCACATTTATTTCTTTTCAAACTTATTCAAAAATTCGATTCAGGACAGGATTGCTGGCCTTTTCCTGGTTCTTCACATTATATCCTTAAAAGTCACATCCATTTCGTTCCATTTTGTTCTGGGAATCATCATGTGATTATTATATCATCCGGCATCTAAATATAAATGATAAGCTGAATAAAGTTGTTCGGGCATGATCAATATCTCTCAATTATAATATCCAGAAGGGCAGACAAGTACCAAGGTCAATAAAGAATCAAAAGAAGAGATATACCTGCTTTCCACAAAATTGTTTGTAGGCATTTCTTCAAACCTACATGCCATGAACAAAAATTTTAGCAATTTGGGGCAACTGTGGATATGGTAAAATGAGGATCTGTATGTATCTGAATTTGAGCATGCCACAACTTACCCCATTTGAAGAAATATCATCTGAATTTGGCGCCTAACCTTCATGATACCAAATCAAATTGCAATCAGTAGCGATCCATATTGATACAAATTAAGTATCTACACATGGGCACATCACATTCACCAAAAAATGGCATCATCACAAGCCAGTGTGTTCAGATATATATGGACGCAAATGACAACAAAGTATGAAATATTACTATGGCCATGCCTTGAGCAATGGATGTAGACAGCCACCCTCTGTTGGCTGGCCCTTTGCAAGGAAGTTATATTCTTTGAACTCAATCTCCTTCCAATCACCCCTTCAAAGAAAACAGGAGATTTAAACATCAGATTTTTTTTATAGAGACAGATTTCATTTACGAACCTAAGATAATAGCCTACTGGCGCCATCTTTTTGGAGATAATTAACAGAACTTATATTGCATTAGCGCACTTCAAATCTTTTCATTCAAATATAACTTACACTCAAAGCATATTTACCCCTAAAAAAATTTTAAATATAGGAGCCTTTCTCCAGCCCCAATTGAACATATTCAGGATCTTATAATACCAATTGTATTATTTATCTAACAAGATGGTAGAAGAAGTATCATTAGCCATAAAAGAGAATATTGGTAAAGAAGACCAATAAACAGTAGTGATACTAAGATAAGACTTGGAATAATCATTTATCGGGCAATAAATAACTCTAAACTGCCACATTCATTGTGCAATATCACATTTCAAACCCAAGTCCATAATTACCTCTGTAAATTTTCGCGAGTCAAATCAGTAGCCACCTTTTTCCTTTTAGGAGCATACTTGGGGCCTTTCTTCACGGAATAGCCTTTCCAAATCCTTGTAGCGTGTCATTAAGAAACATGAGGTCTTCAAATATAAAGTAAATAATAATAATGGTAAGAAAGATGAAAGGAACAAAAGATAATTACTGGGAACTAATAAGCTTTCTCTTTTTGAGAGCATCAACATCCTCCGCGCCGACTCCCTGTGGTTTCATTGGCGCATTAGGTGAAAATTGAAGGAGCATAGATACTAAAATACCACGAATAAGTCACAAAGTCAATAAATTAAAAAAATTGATAAGCATCGCTACAAGTTGTTGAGAACATGGATAAGTAAATGAAGTTACAACAAAGATAATAATTTCCATAAACTGTGTATTGTGTATCAATGCCGCTAGGAACACAATAGCATTTTTTAGCGAGTGGGCAAAATTTGTTATAATGGATATGACAGTGCACCTAAAAATATGGAGATTTTTCGGTTGTTTTGGTACCACATTGCATAGCTACAGCAGCTGACGTAATTTGCATTCAAGCAAACAAGTGTACATTCACCAAAACAAAGTGCTCCTTGATACATATATTGCCATGACAGCAACCATAGAAAGATCAACATGCAAACAATGAAAAGAGAGGTAAAAGAAGAGCTCGCCATGCAAAGTATATTGCATACCTCACCACTATGGATTTGTATAAGCAAGTCTTTTACCCTGTCATCGACACGGTCGACCTATAGCAAATCACTTAAGTTAGGGAATAACACTATGATTACAGTTTATCAGATGTAAAATAATGACCAAATTTGGAGATAGTAGTTATCTATTTAAGCCTCATGTCGAACTACCTCCAACATGTAGTATCTTTGGAAGTTTCGAACACATTTATAACATATCAAAGTAAGAGATAGTGTGGTTACAAAGAGTTGCATTCTATAAGGCCAACCAAGCAACAAATAGCTTGGCTATATTACTTTAGAGCTTCGTTCTACTATAAAAGCTAGATTAGATTAGTTACAACCTTAAAAGTATCTATGAACCTAAGTTCAATCAGTCTTACCTTTCGCGAGATTTGCGACTTCCCCATTTCAATCCATTTATTTTTTATGGCCTGCGTGCTGCCTATTTTGTAAATTGATGTCTTCAACTTTTCCTGTGTCATAAAATTGAAAAGGGAAGCAAAATATCAATAATTAAGCCCAGAGATGATTTGGCATGAAAAAGTAATCAGTGCTAATTATCATTAAGTTGGACAGTTTTGGAGCACAATAAGAAGTCCGTCTTGAAACAATAATCTAGCATGGCACCCAAACAATAATAAAAGCAATGCATTCAGTAGCATAAAATCAAACAACTGGTCCTTCAGGCACTTCATTTCCAATTGCATAAAACAGATACTGAGTAACTATGTCAATTAGCAGCTCTTTAGCCACTTCTCTTTCCTTGGTTGATAAGAATAAGGAAAAATAAACATGTATTAAACTCAGTTAATCAGCTAATTGGCCAACACAAAAGAAGAAGGCACTTACATCAATATCATTTGGCAATCTTGATGCAAAAGATTTCTGCAAACATACAAGAATTTTATAAAAGCATCCCATTTATTAAGAAATCAAATTTAAGCCCTCATAATTAATCAAGAATACCTGCAATTCTTCTCGTGCGATGCCCTCTGGTGGGACAGCAGAAAAGAGAAGTACTTCAGGAGATCCATATTTAGAGTACAGTTCCCCTTCCTGGGTGAGCACCCATCTTTCCCTCTTAATATCCTGCACAATTTTCAAAAGAAAAATACACTTCAGTCACAAAATTTCACAATTTTCAGCAAATTCATACAAATTATACACCAACTCAATCTTATAAACTGAAGTCATGTCCAAAATGTTTAGAGAAATACGGACTTCGAATACAAAATTCATGAAATCTAACACAAAAGGGCGAGACATTTCCCTAATTACACCATACGCTACTCCTAAATAACATTTACCCATCAAAATCTAATGAAGAACGCTTAAGGAAAACAGATGAATCTGCAACTCTGTTGAGGTGGAAGTTGACCTGGGCATCAACGAGACGAAAGCCATTGAGGCTTTTGATGATGTTAACGATCTCGTCGTGGCTAATGCCTTTCTCCTCCGCGAACTTTCCAGAATCCGATATTTCCTCATTCTTTTCGAGAAATCCTAACACAGCTTCCTCAGCCATTGATTATCGACAGATCAAAGAGTGACAGCAGCCTACTATGATTGACTCTAGTAGAGTAATGACTTAACAATATCCACGGAGCTGATTGAGCAGCGGCAGCCGCGGAGGAGGAGGAGGAGGGCTAGAGCCTGATGGCTAGCACGGCGGCGGCTGCTATGATGAGGAGAAAGGAGAGTGTTTGGTTGGGAACAGTACAAAATTAGGGAAACTGATGGAGACTCGAATTTCTTTTCGGTTTTTTTCCTTTTCAACTAAAAATCCTCTTATTTTCTTTTGTTCTTCTTCTATTGCATTTTAAATGAACTTGATTTTATTATGGGCTCGTTTGATTGACGACCCGAACTCAAACTCAAGCTCGTTTAAGACTCAATTAAGTTAGTAGCCTAATTTTGGTCGACCCACTAATTCCCACTAGATTAAAGCTTGCAAAGTAGAGATTTATGCATTATATTTTTAATTTTTAGCATATAATTCAACTCATTAAAATTTAACTAATGGCCTAACTCAAATTCATTTATCAGCTCATTGATAAGCTCTACTCAATAAGAACTTGAGCCCCAACTTAGAATATCAAGAACTCAAACTGAAGTCAATTTGTTTATAGCTCTAAGCACTGTAAACTTTCTATTACAAGTTATTATCACCTACTATTCTCACAATTTCTACATCAAGATAAATGATGTATTAAATATAAAAATTGATGCTAGTTTAAATATTCACGGTGCTATCAATAACACTGATGCTATTATATATGAGAAATGCTATAAAAAACATCCACAATAATAAAAATAAAAAATACACAAGCACATGTTTCTATTTGTGTTGTCAACTTTGTTGTACATTAGGTTGACTATATATCATTTTTCATTATACATAGCTTTTGTGTGATAAAAAAATATAATTAAAGGTTTTCCCGTTGGTCATGTCTAGATTGTAGTTCGATTTTGCAGACTATAATTCATTTATCAAAGGTGCACAGACTGCACAATCAACATTACAAATTCTGCCAACAAAAATATAGCTTATCGAGTCAGCTTTGGTTAAGTTAAAACAGACTGATAAAACTTAACAAAGCTGGTACACCAAACAAGTTTCAATCTAAAGTCCCCTCACACAAATGCACTNCTGTTTATCTTTCGTTTTTTTTTTTTGGTTTTGCCCTTAATATCACAGATTTTTTTTTTAATTGCAATTTTATTCACAACTTTTCAGTTTTGAAAATTATATCACAATTTTCAATTTGCTGCAATTTAATGCACCGATGTGAAAAACCCGTGCAAACTATATCACAATCTTTAGTTTGTTATTCAGCCACATCAGCTTTTAGGGCTGGTTTTCGGAACCGTGCACCTATTTGCAACAAACTGAAGATTGTGATATAATTTGCAAAAATGAAAAGTTCGTGATTAAATTGCAATTTTGAAAAAGGTCGTGATATTAGGGGCAATTTCGCCTTTTTTTATTTTAATCTTTTATAGATAACAAAGGAAAAGGCTGGCACAAACCTCGTGGGTCTCAGTAGCAAATTCGAAGTTAGGTCCTTCAACAATGGCATCGACAGGGCAAGCTTCTTGGCAGAAGCCACAGTAGATGCATTTGGTCATGTCTATATCATACCTACGAATTTAAAGTGTTGGTCAACATGCAGTACAAACTGAATATAATAAGAGAGTAACACAAAAAATACAGATTTATTTACCTGGTTGTTCGCCTACTCCCATCTTCTCGAGCCTCAGCTTCAATGGTAATCGCTTGAGCAGGGCAAATCTGCAATGACAAAAGAAAAAGAAAAAAAGAATTAAACAGAAAGGAAAAGAAAAAGAAATATCATCAGACCCAATAATGCTCATTGACAAAGACATGTATAAAGCCGAATGAATGAGCTAAATAAGCATATCCCAATTCCCAACAAAAATAAAATAAAATCAAATAAATCTCAGTATTGGAAGGTTCACAGTACAAGTAAAATGAGTAAAACTGTAATAAGATCGATGAGCAGTGCAAGATTTAAGAAAGTTATTATACATGCTGTCACGCATAGTTTGCGGGAAATTGAGTATTTAGACTGCATGCAATAATTGGTATACTAGGTCCTTGCATGATTTTTACAGTAGCTTTTGAAATGTTAGTTAATTTAAGAACTTACGGCTTCACAGAGTTTGCAGGCAATACAACGTTCCTCTCCAGTAGGATAACGTCGAAGAGCGTGTTCTCCACGAAAGCGCGGGCTCAGAGGACCTTTCTCAAAAGGATAATTAATCTGTAGAACATAATGAATTTCTTGAATGATTTTTGCATTCTGGAGAGATTAAAAGATTTTTCCAAGTGCAGAGAGTTTTCCCATGAGTGGACACTTAGTGGCTTCAAATAACATCCCATTCACCCACATACAGAGAAACAAAATCTATATGCAAGATCTTCTTTACAGATAAAAGTACGAGGGATGGAAGATTGCCCGTGTTATTTGATGCAGTTAGTGAAAAGAACAAGTAAAAGAAAATTTGAGTCCAAAGTTTAAGTCTTTCCTTTTTTAAGGAAAAAAAAAAGAGGCTTGATTTACTCTCATCTTTAGGGAAAACTATTATATTGCTATTAACAGGTTTTGTTAAGGGGGAAAATGTAAAACGGGATCAAACCTCAAACAATTTATTCGCAACTATGAAACTTCTCTGGAATTTTGTACTTGGCAGCAGTATCGTGCAATTATTCCTTAAAAAAAAGTACAGATATTAGAAGAAAGCCACTCACAGTAACTTTGGGCTCGAAAAAGTACTTGAGTGTCAACATCAGACCCCGGACCATTTCAGTGAGGAATAAAGTATTGATGCTTCGGTCAAAAACTAAACGGTAGGTAAGAAGAAATAAAGGATAAGTTTCAATGTTTCAGAAAAAAGAATGCAACACGAATGCTATTATAAAAGCATAAATTTGGAAACTCTTATACCTGAATTCCAATCCTTTGATATCTCCCTAGCAAGCTTTTCTCTTTCTTCATCATCTACAATAATCAAGAACCACGTTATTACCGACACAAGGAAGGTTAACATCCTAGAACTATCTTAATATCTATTTGGTTACTTGGATTATATCATATGCAAAACAGAAAAAGATTAAACTACGATGTTGCTATTTGTATGAACATTACAAAAATGTCTTGGACAATTTTGGGGTACAAAATAAATTACAATCACAATGTCAACTTTCGATATTTTGAAACCAGAATTTCTAGAGAAAGAGAGGGCATGGTCCATTTGTACGAGAGCGAGACAAAACAAATGGAGGAGAAATTCAATTTCCTAAAACAAGATAACTCCCCTCCCAACTTCTCCAAGACCAAAATAGTCCATAGTCCAATAAGCTTTCTTCTATTAAGCAGGAAAATATAAACTCCTAGTGACCGTAGTCCATAAGTAATAATTCCAGAAATTAGCAAAGCTACAAACAATTACAAGAAATTAGCAAAGTTACAAACTGTCTATATCAAACTTTAAGACTTATACATGAGGCAGAAGCCCAAGAAACACATTAAGCTCATCAATTTTACTAGTACAATATTAACACGGCAATCAGAGGATACAAAATAGAGCTAACCTTTGTCAGTAGAAAATGAGTGTTTTGTGGCAAATGTGCGCTCACAGCATATCATCCCAATGCGGACAGGATCCCGAATGGCCTGCCCGGCCATGGCCTATGACACACTCACACGCAAAGGAAATGAAGAAAGAAAATTAAGGAATACAAAACTGAACCTGCCTTTTCATATCCACCACATAATCCATGAAAAAAATAATTAATAAATAAAAATAAAATGTAGCAGTTCTATCAACCATAATCAAATACAGGACTTCAAACATTAATTCTTGGAGGATAATGGAGCTAATACGAACAAATAAGACCGATATCTACTCCAGCTATTCGAAAATGCCTGTCGAATTTTTAATTTGGTAAATATTATAAATTATTACATAAATAGTCCAGGGTTTCTGAGTTGAATCAATCAATAAAAACTATAATCTTCAAAGCCAAAGTACAAGCGCTAATCCTCATAGCCGGATTAGAACAAATTTGGTCCAAATTCCAGATACAACTAATCGTAAAATAGAATTAAAAACTCCCGCGATACTTTCCTATCATGTAAAGCTCCACAAAATACCTAAAACTGAAATTACAGGGAACAAAAAAGGGCCACCCAATATGAATTCGAATAAAAAGTATAAAAAACAGATTGATATGATGTACAGTTACTCTTACGAGCTGGCGAGCGCGAATGGCAAAGAGAGATTTGCGAGCCAAGATGGCAGCCATTTTCGATTTTCACAGCTGCGTAGTGAACTTCGAACAGTTAAATTCGTGATTGGAAATGAAAATACAAAAAGCGTTCACTTTCCATAAAGAAAGTCGTGGTTTTCATGTTCAAACTAACTAGTACGGTGCGATGCACGGAAGCATTTATTATATATATTTTTTAAAAAATATTTTTGTATTTAAATTGTCTCATGTCATTAAATATTTCATGAAAATAAAATTTATATGTTATTAAACACTTCCTTATGTACAACATCATTGATTTGATTCTTTGGTACGTATAATACTACATAAGTGTTCAAATTTATCCAAAATTGCATATTATTAGTTATTAGTTCACAAATTTTAAAAAAATTAAAGGATAACAAAATTAAAGTAGAAAACAAAGTAAATTTTTTTAGGGATTTTCATCCATTTATTTTAAATCTACTTCTAAATTTCAATTAAGAAAAATTGAAAAGAATCATTAGTTAGTCCCGAAAATAAAACCGAATTTTTTATCAAACAAATGATCCGATTTTTTTAAAACCAAATAAAAAAAAATCATCAATTTTTCCTAAAAATGCAACCAAATTTTCCTAACATTGCACCAATTTTTGTACCAAACAAATTGTATTGAAAATAATTCTAATAAAAAATTAAAATAAATTGTTAGTTTTTATGCAACTGTCTCTTTCCTACAAAAAATTATATGAACTTAACCAAAAAAAAAATGATATGAACTTACAAAAATCTCGGTAAAACATGGTTGAGAAAAAACATAAGAATCCAAAAAAATCAATACATTTAAATTTTGAAAAGTTGCACATAATTTTTCCTAAATAATTGGATAAGGTGACTTTAAATATCAATGATGAACCGCTTTTGTTACCAAGAAATGTGGACAAAATTTTGAATGTACATCCCGTCCAAATATCAGTTTTATTTTAAAATAAAAATTATATGTGGCTTTATCCAATTTACACAATTTTTTTGAAAGAAAAAATTATTCAATAAGATTGGAAGAATTGGTTAAGAATTATACAACTATTTGTTTCCTAAATTTGTATCCAATTTCCACGGTTTTTATATTAATTTGTATTTAGAATTGTTTTCGAAAATAATTGACACATTTTTTGCATAAGAATCTTCAATTTGTTACCAAAAAAGATATAATTTAAATTTTAGTAAAAAAATAAAATATGATACAAAAAATATGAGATTCAAATTTTGCCAAAAGAATCTCCAATTTTGTTCCAAAAAAATAAAAATTAGATTTTGTTACTAAAGATTCACATGTATTTTTTTTAACTTTCTATTGATAGTAAGTCAAACATTATATTTATTTGGCTAATGTATTTTCCAACAACCTCTCTCTATATATATATAAATATAGATATACTCAGTGGCCTAAATACATGTTTGGGCTCTCATATGAAGCCTGTGAACACTAAACCCGGTTCAAGAAAATCTCCAAGTCTTCCAGTTAAATCCAAACTAGGGTAGGGTTTAGCGCAAACCCCAATCAACCAAGCGACTGGGTTTATCACCCTTCCTCCTAACCGTCACCGGCCTTCATTTTCCGATGTATGAAACAGCCTCCGAACTTTCAGAATTTGTCTTTTTATATTATCTCTCTCACGTACTCAATTTTCCTATTTGTTACTGGAATTCAGACGTTAAATAATGAGGGTGAAAAAGCAGAAACGTCACCGGAGGGCAGTCAGATTCTACACGGCCTGTTTTGGATTCCGGGATCCGTTCAAAATCCTGTGCGATGGCACTTTCGTGCACCACCTTTTGGTCAATAGGATCACACCGGCTGATACTGCATTGGCGAACACTCTCGGCGCCGCCGTCAAAATGTTCACCACCAGGTATACTTGGGGCATTATTTTATTTATTTATTTTGTCCATTTATGCTGTATTTTCCTCTAGCTGATTTGGAAAGGAAATGAAAATTGTACATGGGTTTTGGGTTTTGGTCAAACAGATGTGTTCTTGCTGAATTGAGAAGCTTGGGCAATTCTTATTCTGATTCGTTAAATGCTGCTCGAAATCTGATGACGGCGAGGTGAGCTGTTCGTTATTTTGTCCATCTGTCATTGTTTTGCATTGCTTCATGAATGATTGGAGAAAATTGGTTACTGAATACGAGTAATGTGCCTACGTTGTCTTTGTTTTGTGAAGCAAATAGAAAGTAAGAGGTATTGAAGGGCATCTTTTTTTGCCGTAACTTAAGGGAATGGCTTAACTTGAGAGGCATGGTTATGACTTACGACTCATATCAAATCGTTTGAGCGTTTATGACTTGAGGATAATGGATTTGTATTTGCACGAATTGATCGAGGGAAAAGGAACTATATATAGGTTAGACATGCTTTTACACGGCTAAGTTTCTGCCATTACCTATCATGATAGTCGAGCAAAGCAGTTTTTAGAGAATCTAAATTTCATCACCCGTAAATCTCCCTCTGAATTTCTAATTTTCTTGCTCCCAGCATCTTTGCACATGAAATGAATTATATGGTTACTTCTGCCTGCCAGTTGATATCACTAAATCCTTCAAATGTCTTGATACTATATGAGAAATTCATTCAATTCTGTGTCTTAAGTGTCTTAAACCTGCTCTCATAGATGTGACCATGAGAAGCGAAAAAGTGCTGTAGCATGCATTACAGAAGTTATTGGTGAAAAAAACCCGGAGCACTTCTTTGTTGCGACGCAGGATGCCGAGCTTAGGAAGAAGTTTCAAGAGGTTTCATTTGTTATTTCATTATATTTGTACATGTTTAATTGTAAAACAAGAAATAAACTTTTATTAGCACTTGGGTCCCTGATACTTAGGGTTGCAAACCAGTCGAGTCGAGTCGAGCGAGCAAGATTGATTTTTCTTTTTACCTGCTCGAGCTCGTCGAGCTAGAATTATGGCGCTCGAGATCGACTCGACAAAAGAAGACAATCACTCGAGCTCGGCTCGAGATCGATTGAAATCAAAATGCTCGAAAGATTGCTCGAGCTCGGCTCGAGTTCAACTCGAATTTCAAGTAAAATTACCATTAAGTACATATATAAAATATTGTAATATTTATATATAAGGGTTATTTTAGTAATTACTAATATCTCGAGCCGCTCGCCAAAACCTATGCTCGAGATCGACTCGATAACATGCTCGAGCCGCTCAAGCTCGACTCGAGTTCGGTCAAAGTCGAGCTCGAGTTGAGCTTTGACTCGAGCGCTCGCGAGGTTTGCAGCCCTACTAATACCTAACAACCTTTGTGTTAGCAGATTCCAGGTGTTCCTGTGATATACGGTCTTAGGAATGCTCTCTTTTTGGAACGCCCGTCAACATTTCAGCATGAGTTTGCAAAGGCCTCTGAAGAAGAACGTTCACATATGACTGATTTGGAGTTCAAAATGCTGAAGCTCAAGAAAAGGAAGGTGGCTACTGATGAAGCAGGAGACTCTTCTGATGCAAATGAGGATCTCAAGAAAAATGTTACAAGGAAAAATATAGATACAAAGGACAAAGTTCAATTCAAGCGAAAGAGAGCTAAGGTTAGAATTGCGTGACTCTTTTAACTTTTTTTTTTTTAATCAAATTTGATCCTATATACATATTATTTCAAATAAAAATTTGAATAGTTACTTTGGTCCTGTGATTTTAGCCATTTATTTTGTGTCTGATTGAGAATAATATTATTGAGTATTGCTATTGCTATTGCTCCTTCCCAATTTCAACCACAAAATAAGCAGATATGTTGCTGAATTTTGTTTTACTTTTCATTTCATGAAGGGGCCGAATCCTCTGTCATGCAAAAAGAAAAAGACCCAAGGAAATACCGTCTCAACGGCTGAACTGAGGAAGGTATGCTGATAATAATGGTTTTCCAAATGCTTGTAGTTTGTGGTGACATAATACTATGACTGTATGTAAAGCGTGGTGGTGAATATAAACCAAATTTGCTTGATCAGCGAGCTTAATAAGTATATGGTCATCTGTTTTGAATATTCTCAAATGCCATAAGAAAGTCTCATTGGTTTTAGACTTTTTAAGATTTGCTGTGATTTCTAAAGAAAAAAACATATACGAAATCTCACTCTAAATCCCACCTCCAGACTTAAGATTTCACGTGATTCCTTCAAAATCCGAGTATCTCAAAAAGTCTCTAAATGTCACTCGAAATCCTAAACGAATGCTTATTCTTTAGCACGATCATTGCTCACATCATATAGAAAAATATTGCTATTCAGGATTGTTAACTTTATTTGGACGACAATCAACAACAAATTCACTTAGTTGACCAATCAGTTTGCATACCCGATGTATGGTTATCTGCTTATAAAAACCTGAATTTGTGGTTTTAGGAAAATGTCGATAACAGCACGACGAAGAGGAGCAGGAAACGTAAGAGGTCAAAGAAAAACAAAATCACTACAGAGCCTATTGCTGGATGATCGATATGTAGTGGATTTGGATATATCTCAGAACTGTTTGTTTTCTAGCTTGTGATGGAGTTTGTATGATGATTGGGTGCATTGCAGATTTTACATGTATGTTTGAGAACAGAGATTACTCCCTGAGCACAATTCATGTTGGCACAAACAAGTTATATTTTCCAGAAATACACGGCTACACATGTTTTTATTTATTCATACATTGATTTTGCTGCAGATTGTTGGGTAAAACAGGCACCGAATTTATGTTGATTTTTCGGACGACTTTTCGAACTAATGAAATCTACAAGTTCAATGGTTCATTGATACCATTTCATTACGATTATTCAAATGATAATTTGTTAATCGCATTAATTTTTAACATGTGCGTTGCATGATATATATGTCATTAAATATCAGCATATAGTAAGTTGCATGATATATATATATATCATTAAATATCAGCATATAGTAAGTATTATTTACAAGTTCGATGGTTCATTGTTTGTACCATTTGGTCTTTATGATATACTTCTTGCATTTTGGCATAAGAACACTAGTAAAATCCATTTAATTTTAGATTAATAAGCTAAAACTTCACCCATTATCTTTTAATGTGCGAGGTTCTGTAAATTATTGCTGCTCGATGCAAGTCAGATATTTCTCACTAAAAATAGACGTTACATTGAGGGATTCTACCCTCTCGATGTATGGTTTTCTCAACTATTATCAAAGATATTGCTTGCAGATCTGTTGTACATTGCACTGCATAACTTGAATGACAGCTCAAAAAAATAAATAAATAAATAAAATAAAACTTGAATAACAGCAATTCAAAGTGTGTTTTCGTTTTTAATTTTTTGTAACAGCTTTTGGACAATAGTGTGTTGATAGAAAAGAATTTGAACATAAACAATCAAAGTTCATGCTCAATCAGCAAATCTGATATGAGCCAGTCAAATGAAAGCAGTGCAAACATTTGCAATTACAAATCAAACAAAAGTCAATGAGAAGAATCCACTCTACAATAGGGTGAGAAAGTGCAATAAATTTGTTCTTGGCACTTTCAACGAGAACTCAGTTCAACATTCGCAACCAGTTGACCTTTGTTGTCCGCTTCTTGCAACATCGATTGTGTCAGGCAAGTATCTTCACCAACAAAACCAATGTCAAGCAGAAATAAATGCATAAGTCAAGAATTCGAAAATTTCTGATTTAGGTCACTACAGTAGCTACGAATGGAAATCAAAAGCAAACTAATGTAAGTATATAATTTAGGCAGCACGATTGCGAATTTTCTCGAGCATAAGACTAAAATCAACTTTCCCATAAAAGTTGTGTGGCAGATGAAAGTAACAGATCAAATAATTAATGCTGAAAGGTCAAAACAAGGTGAATTAATTAACGACTGTATATATTTTAAATAACGTCGATTGGGGATGATGAGATGGGTTTTGTATACTCACATTTCTTCTTCCTCTCCAGTTTTGAGAGCATTCTTTGCGATGACCTGGAAAGCTTCTTCAACATTGGTGCCTTCTTTGGCAGAAGTCTCAAAGTAGGGAATATTACCTTTCGAGGCACACCATGCCCGAGCCTTTTTCTCGGATACCTAGGATGGTACAAACAAATGTGTGATAGATCAGCTATATGCTTAAAATAAAAATAAAAAAGAAATCCGCTCAGCGCTATCGATAAGAGGACGATGGAGATGAAGCTATTTCAGATCCAACACAGAATTCTAGGATGATCATAATCTAATTCATGTGCATATTGACTGACAAAATGGATTAAATATAGGACAGGTATAAAATGACGTCTGAATTAAAAAAAAAAAAAATCACAAGCAGCAATTAACTAGAGTGCGTGGATAATATTTAGGACAGGTATGAAACAGTGCAAGTCCATCTATACAGAATGATTCTAGTCAGTGCCTCAGTGGAGATCCCAGACCAAGAAAGGAATCAAATAAATAAATGTTATATAAACAGAGTGAGAGAAAAATTACCACTCTACTGTTTCCACCATCCACATCGGTCTTGTTACCAATCACAACGAATGGGAAATTTTCTGGATCTGATGGGCTTGCCTGCAGTGAAATTCAGCTTTTAGGATATTTTTTAATCTCTTCACATGATAAAGAATACAGAACAGGTAAGATAAACACTCTCTATCATAAATGATAAAGTGACTGTAACTATTTAAATTGCACCATAGGAGACAGAATATAAGGAGTACCACAGAGAAATCAGGGCCTGAAATATCCCAAGCTGTGATAACACGAATTAACACCTTGGACCTAAGACCAACTTTATACTCATTTACCCACATTAAACAAGTGGGAAGGGGAAAACTAACATGATAATACACTATGAAAGGAAACCCCGTATGCTTTGTCAATGTGTTTGCAACAGAACATCCATGTTACCCCTAGTGAGGAGTAGTTGAGGCCGATACTTCATATTCTAAGTACAATCCATAAGCACAATTAATGAAATCTACATTCTATTGAAGCAGCATAAAAGAGGTGCAAATCTCATGTCTATATTCTCAGATGGTAACAAACACGGGAAGTTGGGTAAAATTAAAAATAAAGGATAAAATAAAAGTACCTGAATCAAGAACTCTTCTCTCCAATTATTAAGATTGTCAAATGATTTCATCACATTGACGTCGTAAACAAGCACACAACAATCAGCACCCCGGTAAAAGGCAACCCCAAGACTTTGAAATCTTTCTTGGCCAGCAGTATCCCATATCTAATAGAACAACAAATCAAGCTTAGGGAAGATAGAGCCTATATAATCACATTTCAAGGGATATAGAAAAAGAAATACAAAATGGGTACACTGAAAGATAACCACCAGAAATAAAAAATGGTTCAATATTTCATTCAAGCAATACCCATAACATGTTATCGTCTCACAACTTGACCAAGATACATAGTTTCTGTATCCTGACTCATAACAAGTGAAAAGCTAAATCTTAGATAAATAAAACAATGTTTCCATCTAACCTGTAAAGTGAAGAGGCGATCCTCAAACTGCACTTCCTTTGTCAGGAAATCAGCCCCGATTGTAGCCTTGTATTGATTGCTAAATTTCTTATTCACATATCTTTAAGTGACAGGTGAAGGATAACACCCAAATACTAACTAAACCTATTTTCATAATAGGGTTCAGTGACAAATGAACTAGCAACTTCACAAATAACCGATTAGTTCTCAAGGATACTGATTCATCAGCGAGGTCTTCCCGACCCTGCAAACCGCACACAAAAGAACAATCACCAAACAACCATCTGAATGCATATGTCTGTACTCTTTACAGGGACACCCAAATGAATAGAAATGCTTAAAAGCGCAATGCACTGGTCGATTTAAACACCGTGAGATCTCTTTCATTCATATGAAGCTGAAGCCAAACTAAAAATTCATAAAGCTCATACATAACTTTTCCAGCAACAACCTCTAGTTTGATTTCAGAGCTTTAGACTTTCAACTAACATCTACAAACTCAAAAATTGAAAGGTGCCGATCAGGTCTAAATGGGAAAAGCAAATAAGAAAAACAAACTCAATTTCATGAAAAACAGCTTGAATATACATCTAAACCAAACCACGCCACACAAAAGTAATCAGAAGTGAAGAACATCACGAACAAAAAAAATAAAAAAAGGAAATTCGTCGAAATCAGAGAACACCTCACCCACTATCGCCGAGGATGATGACCTTGAGGAGAGCTCTTCTACGCGACGACATCGTATCGACCTCGATCTGAGATTCACGACTGTACGGAGACTGCCTTATTGCTGTGCAATGCGACTGTGTGAGCCTGCGCGTGCGCAAAGAGAAGTGACCCGAAAATTCTGATTGGCTTTTGAATTTTGGGAGAATTTGTGTATTTATTGTTGGCTTTGTTTTCTCGTACTCGTTGACAGCCAAGCAAAAGTAGGTTTGAACTAATGAATTTTGCTAATAATGAACCTTCAAATGGACATTTTTATTCCTCAATTTAATCCTAAAAAAAACATTTAAACCCTATTTTTTTTTATCTTAGTTATAATTTCTAGGCAATTTTTAGTGTTTCATAATACTATATGTCAATTGTCTAGATTTTTGCGTCTGTGTGGATTTCAGTACTACTATGTGTTAATTGTGTCGATTTGTGTCAACTTATGAGTTTCCTAATAGTTTGTGTCAATTTCTCATGCTTTTTTATGAGTCAATATTTAGAAATTTGGAGTAGTCCACATTATTTGGGATCTAATCAAGCGTATCAAAACTTTTAAATAATAAACACTCAAGCGACTTAATTTTATTTTAAATTAACAATTTCTATATTTACTATTGGATTATTAAGATGACATATTAAGTTGATCATCTTTTAAAGAGTTTATATATATAATATATATTTTAAAAACTAGCCACTTTCCATTGTTATTGAATTTTCATGAATATATATCTCTTGTAGTAGATTCGTGTAATACACATACATAGATGCATAAGAAACCGACAATTGACAATTTTGGGTTTATGTGAATAAATAAATAAATTTCAGTTTGTATGTTAAAATTGCCAATTGGACCAAGTAAGTAATAAAGTAAAATTACCATTAATTATAATATAAAATATTGTAATATTTACATATAAGGAATATTTTAGTAATTTACTATATATCTCGAGCCGCTCGTGACCTTCCAAAACCTATGCTCGAGATCGACTCGATAACATGCTCGAGCTCGGTCAAATTCGAGCTCGAGCGTTCGCGAGCCGCTCGATTCGTTTGCAGCGAGTATCAACAATTGAACATAAATCATTGCACAAAAATTTCATTTTCATCTACCAAAGTTTATCTGTTAAAGATTACAAAGATGAAATGAAAAATACAAACACCAAATCATTGAGACACAATACACAACTAAGACCATTGGACAATTTTGATGGAGTTGGTTTAGAATCGACCTGAATAACAGCGAATCTTGGTCTCGGCCACTCAGATCACTTTTCTGTACCCACCAAATGCCCAAATCTGCCACTCGCAAGTTTACGTGCAAAAGTTAGCAAAAGCCTACTGTTTTGAATTCGATGTCTGTTGATTTAAACTGATTTCATATGTATACATTTTATTGTCCAAAAATATTAGTTTAGTGTGCACAAAATTTGACTGAGAGCTGATATGTGAGGATGGAGTACAATGACAAAGATTATGTACATGTTCAATAACCTTTCAGATCTGCAAATTATCGCTTAATACATCAAACAAACAGATGAGAAGCGTATTTTCTTGATGTTTGTTTGAAACTTGTGAATTATTATAAACATTCAATAAGGGGTATTAATGAAGCAACAATAAACCCAGTTAGTTGCTCTAAATTCCAAGGGAGTGTTTTAGTTTCGAAAGATATCTGGGTTTGTTTCATATCATAGTTATAATAACTGTCAGAGGTTTTTTCTTATTTTTCTATAGAAATTAAAAAAAAAAAAAGTATATATCCAAAACACAAATCACCTTCAGGTTAGCATCCCAGCTTCCTGTACACAAGGCACTGCCATCAGCAGACAGCCCAAGACAGCTTATCTGATTATCATGAGAATTTTGAAGAGATCCCAAATCCAAAACCACCTATTCATTAGAGAAGATTTTTTAAAGTAAATCCATCTTATAAGAATCATCACAATGGAGATGCAACATCGATGGAACCAGCAACCCGAAAAATACAACTAAAATTGAAAATTCACTTATTTGTGTAATATGAGAAAATAGTATACTAAGGCTGCGTTTGGTAAGCATATAAGCTAGCTAATAGCTTATTTGATTAACTTATAAGCTTCCTGTATTCAAATAAGCTTGACTTGGTAGGACAAACCTTTTTAAAAAGCTCGAGCTTATTTCATAAGCTTTCCTTGAGTAGCTTTTCAAATAAGCCCATTGAAATTTTTATTTCACCTAGCTTCAACTAATTTTACCAAACACTTTTATCATATAAGTTAACTTTTCAGCCATAAGTCATAAGCTATCAACTATAGGCTAGTTTTCAGCTAGGTCTACCAGACATAGGCTATGTTTGGTAAAACTAGCTGATAAGCTAGCTTATAGCTTATCAGTAATTTTCGAGCTTATAGTTTATATCGTATGACTTATAGCTGAAAAGCTAGCTTATATAATAAAAATGTTTGATAAAATTAGTTGATAAGCTAGTTGACATAAAAAATTTTCAACTAGCTTATTTGAAAAGCTACTCAAACAAGCTTATGAGATAAACTCGAGTTTTTTAAATAAGCTCGTCCTATCAAACGAAACTTATTTAAATACATGAAGCTTATAAGCTAACCTATAAGCTAGTTTATTTGTCTACCAAACATAGCCATAATCTACGAAAACCCAAAATA